TCCCATCGCCCCATCGCCCCCATCGCTCCCTGCAGTCCAGTGACCCCAGCAACCCCCCTCCTTGCGCTCCCAGTGCCCCCAGCGAGCTCCCCCCCAGTGCCCCCAGCGAGCTCCCCCCAGTGCTCCCAGCGACCCCAGTGACCCGAGGGCGTTGAGGGCAGCGGCAGCAGCAGCAGCGTGGCGCGTGGCAGCAAAGACAGACGCCACGTGGCTGTGCCCCGCGTCTGCCACTGCTGCTGCCGCCATCTCCACCACCGCTTGCTGCTGCTGCTGCTGCTGCTGCTGCATCGCCTGCTCGCCTCCCCCTCCTTTTTCTCCCCCTGCCCCCCTGCTGCCCCTGCCCCTGCCCATGCTGCTGCTCTGGGTGAAGCTGATTCTTCTGAAGCTGTAACGGCAGTGGTTGTGCCTGCCCAGCTGCCCCGCGTGCGGGTGGAGTGCCCACCCTGTTGCTGCCACTGTAGCTTTGAATCATGTGCCACGTCAGCACTGCTCCCATTCGCCCCCACGCTCCCCAGCCGCCCATCCGCTGCCCCTGCTTGCACCCCTTCTTCCCCCCTGCCGCCCTTCCACCGCCTTGCTGTTGCCTCCCCCACGTTTCCCTCTCCCCCGCCCGGGGCTCCCCCGTCCCCCTCTCTCCGCGCACTGCTGCCCACTCGCCACTCGCCTCTTCCCCACCCCCCTGCTCTCCCCCTATCGCCTGTATCCCCCCTATAAGCTCTTCCTTCGATATGCCTGCACGCACTAAAAAATCTTCTAGAGTAATTTCTGCAAACGACAATTGCCGTATTTGCTGCTGCCCCCTGCCCCTGCGCTTGCCGCTGCTGCGCCTCCCCCCCTCCGCGCGCTCCTTCCGCTGACGCTCCGCCCGCCTCCGCCGTTTCCCCCTCCCCTGCTAGCTCCGCCTGTATGTCTTTCCACACGTCTTCCACGGTCCGCGCAGTCAGCGCGCGCGGAAGCGCCGCGGCGGACTTCTGCCGCCGCAGCGAGCGCGCGCGCAGCAGCCCCGCGGCCTTGTCGCGCGCGCGCGGATCCGCGCCGCTGGCGGCGTGCGCGGCGGCGAGCATTTGCGACTCCTCGGCGAGCCAGACGGATCGCAGAAAGTCGTCCATGGGCATGGATGCGACGGCGTGCGACGGGCCTGCGAACGTCGCCTGGAATTCGTCGAGTGTGAGCGAATAGATTGACGCCTGCCGCGCCAGCAACTCCGGGAACGCCATGGCGCGCGGGCGGAGGGCGGAGATGGTGGCGGAGAAGTGCAGAGGCGGGGGAGGCGGAAAGGCGGAGAGCAGAAGAGCCGAAGAGGTGGACGCGGGAAGGCGGACTGGCGCGGAAGAGGGGATTATGTACAAACTGCGCGCCTATTCTAGGAGACGGCGAAGACGGTACGATTCTTGAGGCGCCTAAAAAAGCGAGCGAGATGAATTGTATTTATACAAGGGTACGGTGGCTATGAGAAGTCGTGCTTTGCCTCAACGCTCTCTGCCGGCGCCGGCGGCGGATGAATCGGCGGTACTATGGGCCCACTCGACTTGTATTTGAAACGTTGCGGCGCACTTTCGCGTCTAGTTGCGGTGTATAAGTAACCTGCTAACGAAACTGTCAATAGAGTGGTTCGAAATCTCGCGCGCCTATCACGCGCCTATCGCGGCGCCCCTAACGGCTCCTCCCATTCCCCCTCCTCCCCCATCTTCTCGTCGCATGGTCGCATCCTCGCGAGGGCGAATGGGACGAGGCACGGGCACAAGCACGCCACGGCACGGCCTGAAGGAGGAAGAAAATGAGACTTCTAGATGGAGCGAATCAAAGGAGGTGCGGCATACGGAATCCGAGGCGGGCCACGAAAAAAAATATGGGTCCAGACGGGAGAGGTATGAGCGAGAGAAGAGGCGACTCGGGATTTCAGGAAAGAGCAGCAGAATGAAGAGCAAGCGGTTACGGGCAAGTAATCTCTGCTTTGCTGCTGTTGTGAGTGACTCGCCTTTCTCTATAACCCGCTAAAGGCGGACTCGTCCCACCTACAGAGAGAATATGAAACTTCTTTCAATGCATTCTCAACTCATTCGACTTCTGGCCTGGTTGTTGCTGACATGACTCACTTGCTTGATTGGTTCCTTTCTCCGCAGATTCCCAGGTTCACGACTGCGGTATCTTGTGCACGTGTCAGCAGCCTATTCCCCCTCTAGCTGGCGAGGCAACTGATCTGATTCGATATACAGCGAGTGCTTTTTTACAACAGCTAGATAAAAGAACATGTTTCATTATCTTTGCCCTCGAGAGTCCCTCCCATCCCCCGAACCCGAGTTTCATTTCTTTCCGATCGAAACTAGTCATACGGTCTCCGCCATTCTAGGTGCACGCATACATCATCAGCAGCCGCGTCGCGCGTGCTACAGTCGCCGCCAACAGCATTTCTTCCGCCCGGGCATTGACAGCCGCCGACGAAACGAGCAACTCCGTCCAGTGCGGTTTCCCTAGTGATTGTCGCCGAGCGTGTTCCTTCTCCTCCGCGCTGCGTTCTGCGTTCCGCGTTCCGCGCGACTCTGGCCCATGGCCCTCCGCGTCCACCCCGCCTTTCCCCCGGGAACGCGCCCCCTGGCGAGTGTTACAGTAGCGAGCGAACACATTAGGTGGGTCGTCGCCGCTGCGGCGTTTTTCGCAAGCAATGCGCTTTATCGCAAGCTGGAACGGTCGTCTTCACACGCGGTGTAGGTCGCATACGCTGCTGCGATATGAACAACATGTCAGAACAAAAGCGGATACACTCTTCCCCGCATTTTTTTAATCACGTACTCTTGTCCTCCTTCTGACCTCGTTCCTTCCCACTCGATTCGAACTCCTCATTTCCCCCGCTCTCGTCATTTCCCCCGCTCTCCTCATTTCCCCGCTCTCGTCATTTCCCCCGCTCTCCTCATTTCCCCCGCTCTCGACTCTCGCCTCCATTCTCTCCATTCTCTCGCCCGTCCCTCTCCCTGCCTCCCGTTTCCTGTTTCCTCTCCCATCCCCTCCCTCCCTGTTCTCGTTCCTTTCCCCTTTTCGCCATCCCCCCTCTCTAATTCTTTTCCAGAATACCCTTGCCCCGCGCGCGCCTAATCTCCTCCGCCCACTCGCTAGCAGCCGCATCCCCGCTCCGCACCGAC